AATAACTATACAAGGTAGGTATTATTCAAGGCTGAGGCAATGGTGGCCTCTGCAACCAAACTGACCTTGGTTTCAATTCTGAGTCTGCCAATTTACTGGTTGGATGACTTGAAGGAAGTTATTTATTCTCAACAAACTTTGGTGACTTTGCCTGTAACAGGGATGATAGAAATTCCTATTACGGTATGTGCCTTTTATATGCATGTTACTCTATTCCTGTGTCTTTAATTTGTTTTTAAATGATTCTTTTTTAAAAATATATTTTTATTGATTTCAGAGAGGAAGGGAGAGGGAGAGAGAGATAGAAACGTCACTGATGAGAACGAATCCCTGATTGGTTGCCTCCTGCACGCCCCCTACTGGGGATGGAGCCCACAACCCGGGCATGTGCCCTTGACCAGAATTGAACCCGGGACCCTTCAGTCCACAGGCCAACGCTCTATCCACTGAGCCGAACTGGCTAGGGCTATTCCTGTATCTTTTAAAAGCCTGATCTTTATGTGGAATGTACTTTCCCTTTGTACAAAGTACCAAAATTGACTTCATTAATTTGCACTGTCCTTTAGTATTATATTTTAATGCATCACAGGCTCACTGTTGACTCTATCTTGCCAGCCACACTGGAGGTGGAGGGAGAGGAGGCATTTGGCTATTCCCCTTTTCCCACAGGCTTGGTCTCTAAGGGCCCAGGCTGGCCCTGGCTCCAGATCTGTGCACACAATGGGCCTCTCTAAGAAGCAGGCAAAGGTATGTTGGCTGCCAGATTGGGCCCAGACTGGTCACAAACACACCCCTGTGACTGAGACCAGGCTCAAGACATCTGTGTAAACCCCTGACCTCGCAGAGGAAAAGGTACAGAAGGCAGACTAGGGTTGCTGATGCTCAGCTGAGCCCCTGACTTAGGCCAAAGAAGTAGGGCTCTGGCTGGCACCCAGAGTTTGTCAATGACATCTGTCCTTCTAGGACATTCTCAGGAAGCTCTGTACCTACCAAGACCCAGGCCTCAGGAAAGATGCCCAGCCGTCCTGCCAAGTTCTCATACAAAGGATAGGCCACCTACCCGGCCGGTGTGGCTCAGTGGTTGAGCATCAACCTATGAACCAGAAAGTCAAGGTTCAATTCCTGGTCAGGGCACATGACCAGGTTGCGGGCTTGATCCCCATTGTGGGCATGCAGGAGGCAGCAGATCAATGATTCTCTCTCATCATTGATGTTTCTATCTCTCTTTCCCTCTCCCTTTCCATGGCCCCTTGGAGATAGCTTATGAGTGAGATAGGGGCAGGGAAGTTCTGAACAATGTGACCAGTGACTGGGTTCTAGCAGAGAACCTAGGCCCAGAGAGGCTCTCAAGAGCACTGGCTCCAGACTCAGGCCACTGCCCAGTTCTTACCTTCTCCACATAGACTCCTCCAAATCTCAAGGACCAGCCACAAGCCAGCATCTTAGCTCCCTCACCTCCTCCAAGCTTCTCAGATCATCCATGCAACTCAAAGATTCTTGACCCCAGTGCCCACTCCCACCCCTTTACTGCCTTGGTTGAAATGACCTCCTTCTGTAAGTTTTCTGGGCCAGGAAAGCAACTCAAAAGAGACTTCAACTAAGAAAAAGCCGGGGGGAAATTAACAAAGAAGGCCACAACCTCCAAACTCTTCTTACGCAAGCCTGCTTAAATCAAACCACCACCCTCTCCCTCCTGTTCACGGCCCCATCACCTTCTCCCTCCTGTTCATGGCCTCGCCTCCACGTTGCCATTGAGCATCTATTTGTGCCTCCCTCCAAACCAGAGTGATGCTGCTAAAGCTCAGAGCTGACCATGTGAACCCTGCCGAACACCTTGTAATGGCTCCTCCTTTCTCTCCAGAGAAAGTCCAATTCCTTTTGTCTGGCTCTGCAGAATCTGTCAATCCGGTTAGCCTCCTCTTTTTTTTCACTTCCTCACACCATAGGCTCAGATAAAGCTGAATTATTAAAGTCAAGTCACTTTACCCCTCTATGGTTTTGCTCACACAGTTCCCCTGCCTGGAAAGCCTTCCTCCACCCCGTACTCACCTCTGCTTATTGTTCATAAAGTGGCAGCATCCCCTTCTCCAGGAAGTCTTTCCTGACAACCCAGAGAGAAGAAACCACTTCCTCTTCCACTCCCTGAGCAGACCCTATCTCAGCATGTGTGACATGTTGGTGACCTGGTAGATTTGCCCAGCTGTCTCCCCCATAAGACTGTGCCCTCAAAACCAGAGTAGAGCAGCATAAAGGGAGGGGAGAAAAAGAGAAAGCAAAAGAGGGCTCTCATCCAAAAGGCAGAAATAATCAATGACTTTATGTCGATAAATCTGACACCTTGGATGAAAAGGACAAATTCCTTGAACGACAAAAACTACCAATGTTCATTCAAGGAAAAAAATAGATCCTCTAACTTACCCTATTAACAACATTAAAATCAGAGTTAAAAACATTTCTATAAAGGTGGCTTCCCTGGAGAATGCTACTAAACATTTAAGGAGGAAATAATATCAATTCTATATAAATGCAGTGAAACAGGAGGGGAGTTACTAACATTTATAAAGTGCCTACTATGTGCCAAATCCTATCTTGGGCAACAGAGAGGCCAAGCTTGTCGGGCCAGTATGGCTTGACCACCAGAGAAGGTGACATTCATAATGAAAGCTATTGGTTATCTCTGATCTAATCTAACCTTAGCCAATATGGAAACTGAGGCCCAGAGAAGCAAAGATCTTACCAAGGTCAGAGATTCACCACAAAGCAGACAGGAGTTTAGAAACTGATTTTTAAATAGTTTGTGTAGAAGAGACAGTGTTTATGTTTTATCTCTCCTACCAGATGGTGAGCTCCTTCAAGAGAGGCCTGGGTCTAGCTCAGCTTCTAACTCAATGCTCTGCACACCAGGTACACAGTAGGTCTCTGCAAATGTTTCTTGACTTAGTGAGGAAGGACTAAAGTTAATGAGTTAGATGGAAGGTTTGGATATTAGCTCCTAAACCAGGAGATGCTTCAACTATCTAACACTCAGAGATGCTACCTTCTCAGAATGATCCACACTCAGAACCCAAATAGAAACATTCTCAACCTAAAGGTGAGGGGCTGAGGGGGACCTCCATGTGGATTAAAAATGTGTCTATAGTAGAAATTTTGCCACCTATAGGCTAGACTTTCAAACAGCAAAAACTAAAAGAGCTTTTCAAGTCAACCAAAATATGACAATTTGATAAAGTTCAACTGTTTCAAATTGCATTAATGGCTATAAATATCAAAGTAACAAGACATCTGGGAGAAAAAGTATCTTATAGCCATATCATTAATGTAACTTTGCTGTTAAAATATGATTGATGTACTTATGCTTTTAGGGACCAACACTGCAGCGTCAGCTTTTTAAAAATATACACTGTAGGCGCGCTCTCTCCCTCCCGGGAGCACTCCCGCGCCTTTCCCTTCCTCCTCTTCTTCCCCCGCAGGCATGCATCTCCTAAACTCTAAGGGTCCTCACAGACCTGCAACCAGGGGAGCAATGGGCTGTAACCCCCAGAACCTGGCCCCAAGGCCCCCTTTTCTCTGACTCTCCAGTGAGCTGACTTCTTCCCCATAATGTTTCTAGAGAACCAAAGCAGCCCCACCTAGTCTCTCTCCTGTTGCTTCTTCTATCCTAGGCTCTTCCTTGTTTCACTGTCCCCAGCTTCACTAAACTTACTCTCTAAATAAATAAATACACTGTATATGTTAAAAGTGCACCAAAAAATAAAAACTGCACCGGTAGCATTTAAATAGATACACCTAAAATGTAAAAGTAAAACAAAACTGAGAGAGCCCTGGCCTATGTGGCTTGGTTGGTTGGCGCATCGTCCAATGCACCAAAAGGTGGCAGGTTCGATTCCGGTAAGGGCACATACCCAGTTGCAGGTTCAATCCCAGGTCTGGGCGAGAGCAAGAGGCAGCTGATTGATGTTTCTCTCTCACAGCAATGTTTCTCTCTCCCTCTCCCTCTTTCTCTTTTCCTCTCTCTAAAAAAAAAAAAAAAAAATCAATTAAAAAATATTAAAAACAAAAACTGAGAGAGAACAAGAATGCCAAAGATCACCCAGAGACCCAAAGCCTGTTTATTTCTGTGGTCTCTTAGAGACCCATTTGGGGAAACAAAGGCAACCTGTCAGGATCTGGGCCTGGGGCTCAGCTCAGCATGGCATTCCCCATCGGCCCCCGCCACCTCCCTGTGCCTGTTCTGGGCCATGAGCCAGACACATTCCTCAGGCCCCCACAACTTCCGGAAATTGCAGGCTGAAGTTTGAGGAAAGGGCTGAGCCAAGCAGAAATCTCTTGAGAGAGATGGCAAAAGGCAGATACGCAACAACCACAGCAAGAGGCCTATAACAACCAATGGGGAAACTGAGACCTAGAGAAGGCAAAGGTCTGATCCAAGACCACACAGTGAGGGGATAGTGGAGGGGAACCACCCACAAAACAAACAAAAGAAAAAAACACCTCCTCTCTGATCCTTGTTCATTTGACATTCTGCACATAAAGGCCAAGTCTTCTCCCAAATGAGAATGGGTGTCAGGGTCTTAGGGGCCCTGAGTGCTAGAAGAACTGGGACTTCAGAGCTCTCCTGGTTCCTCAGGGAAGAGTCTTAACCGTCCCATCTCCAGTCCCTTCTCTCTTCCCCTGAGTCACTCATTGAGTGACAAATCCTGCCATGGACCTTTTGTCCTGTTCACACAACCCAGCAAGGCAGAAATTACAGACCTGACTTACAGATGAGGAAACTACAGTGCAGGGACTTACCCACGGCCACAGAGATAGGGAGTGGGGCAGAGGAAATGAAAACCAGGTCTGTCTGGCTCTGCGCCGGCTCTCCCACCATCCCATGCAGTCTCAAGGCAGGTCTCCAAGTTCTGTTTCTGTTTTCAATCCTGCCCACCTCCCAGACCCCACTGCTTGAGGCCTGGAGGAGGTAGGGACGAGCTAAACACCCTGGGTTCCCCAGTGCTTACCCTCCAATACCACTTCTTTGCCTGTCTTCTTCAGAACCTGCACCGCCTCGTCATGAGTGGCAGAGGAAAGGTCTTCCCCGTTCACGGACAGGATGGCATCCCCAACAAAGAGGGCCTCTGTCTGGTCAGCTGCCAAGCCTTTGAAGATCTTGGAAATGAGAATAGGCATCTTGTTCTCCCGGCCCCCTGCACAGGCACAGAAAGAGGATGAAACGGAGGCAGACACTCTAAACGCTTAGGAGTTACATGGAGGCAAAATTATTTTTGAAGGCCTCCCGCAGTGACCAGCCCAGTGCTGGGAAAGGGGAGATGGGAGGGTAAAGAGAATTTCAGCAAAGAATCTTAGAAGTTTGGGACATTAATAATACTAATAAGTCAACCAAAGGACTTGTATGCATGTATATTAGCATAACCAATGGACACAGACACTGGGGCGGTGGGGACTTGCCCGGGGTGGGAATGGTTGGGTGGGGGGAAGGAGGGTCAATTGGGGGAAAAGGAGACATATGTAAAACTTAAGATAATAAAAAATAAATAAATAAATAAAATAATAATAATAAGTCATTTTTGAAGGTTAAAAAAACGTTTTGTTTATAAAGACTGAAATGATTATATGCAAATTTGAGCAGCTAGACTGTACAAGAAATTCTTTGAAAATTCCTTTTTTGCTGTCTTCCAAGAGTTGGATTCCATTATACATGCTTTGTTCTTTCTTTAGACCTGGAAAAAATATGCAGTCTTTCAACAAGTGATTTATTCTTTTCTTTTCCATGATTAGAAATCCTATGATCCCTTAGACCAGTGGTTCTCAACCTTCTGGCCCTTTAAATACAGTTCCTCATGTTGTGACCCAACCATAAAATTATTTTCGTTGCTACTTCATAACTGTAATGTTGCTACTGTGATGAATCGTAATGTAAATATCTGATATGCAGGATGGTCTTAGGTGACCCCTGTGAAAGGGTGGTTCGACCGCCAAAGGAGTCGCGACCCACAGGTTGAGAACCGCTGCCTTAGACAGTTCCTTCTGAAACAAACTTTCCTCTTCTCCCCAGCCAGCCCCAGTGGGTTCACCTCTACAGGCTCTGGGACTAGGACAGGAGTTAAGACATGCGAATGTTTCCTCACTGAGAAAGTCATTTTCTAAATTCATAATGTTATAGTTTGGTCACTGGATCTTTTGGTCCAATGCTTTGGGTGTTCACCAGTGTTTGAGTAATTTACAAGGGGCTTCAGTAATTTTTCCTTAAATACATATTTTGGGTTTTAAGCAATTTTCCCACAGTGAGGGAAACCCATTGATACCCCCTAATCTGGCATTATGATGGGATTAGCTATTGCCATGGCTCCAAATTTTACAATCCAGGATATAGACCTAGACCTTAAAATCTAGAGATTTCAAAAGCCTAGATAAATAAGTAAATAGCTAATACATTTTACTGAATTGCTTTGTTGCTAAATTCTTGAATGTCCTTTTAAAATAAAAAAAAAATAGTAATAATAATTACTGCTAGTTCCAAGTGCCAAAGAGCTAAATGTTGTCAATGGTGTTTCATTGCATCTTCACAACACCCCAATCACACAGACATGTTCAGTTTCCGACGAGGAAAATTGAAGTGTGAAGAGAAGCCCCTTACCCACGGTTGTCCAGTTAGTAAGTGGCAAAGCCAGTATATATTTGAACTAGGTCTCCTAGCTTCAGAACCAATACTGTTAACTCTATGGCAGACTGCAAGTAGGACCCTCAGGTATCACACCACTGGTCCATCCCTGAAATACTGAAGAGGAACTAGTGGCATAGAGAGGGGGTGGTCATTATCCCAAGATCACAAAACAAATGTGTGGCAGCTGTAGAATTGGAAGTCTCTCCTGACCCCCATGCAGACCTAACCGTTTGCTTCTTGTTCTGCACAGAGCTTGAGGCCAAGGAAAGGAAAAGGTTTCTATTTTTATCTGCCCTGCTTGTCCTGGAACTGGGAACTTCAGTTCAATGTGGAACTATGATCATTCCTGGCTGCTTGGGCTGGACTGGACCCTAGAGGGGAGGTCATCATGGCCACAGGAGTGCAATCTACATACATGAAGAATTAAATGGAGCTGGCACTTCCCCTGATGCCTCCTAAAAGTACCTTCACTACCACCTGGAAGTATGGCGCTAGGCTAGGGTGTAACTTTATGTGACCTTGGAAAGTCCCTGCTTCTCTCCTAGTCTGTTTGTCTATCTACAAAGTGTAACTTTATATGAACTCTAAGTTCCTTCCTGCTTTGATACATTAAGTGTACAATTTCTGGATTGATCTGTTTTTACCCCATGCTAGAGTTTGGGGCTAAGATGGGTGCTCACTCCCTGGATTCTCATTTTCCTCTTTTAGACCCTTTTGGTTCACTACATGGGGATTTGCCCTTCCATGGGAAAGAACCAACTCCCCTGGCACTATCTAGTGGCCTGATAATTAAGGTTCAAATCCCAGCTCTGCCACTCATTGACTGTGGAATCCTGGGGAAATTGTTTCTTTTCTGAATCTCAGTTTCTTACCTGCAAAATATTGATTTATGCTCCCTACCTTTTACCACTTATTGCCAGGATGAAGTGGACATGAGCCTAGAGTACTGTAGCACTTAGCACCACCATCCCCACCCTCTCACCCAGGCCAAAGGGTCTGGAAGCACAGGAACAGAGCATATCCAGAATGATAGCAGGATTGGCCTGAGACCCTGAAAAGTAATTGTGGTAGGAACTGTGAACCCAACAGCTGGGGGTGTGCAGGGATTTTAAGCACTACTTTTCGTTGCTTTGGGAATCTCTCCTGGCCTCCATTTTCCCTCTCATCTAACAGCAATAATTAACCAGGCACCTACTGTGTGCTGGCAGGGTGAATGCTTTAGATTCCTGTGCTCATAGAAACATCACAACTATATTATTAGCCTCACTATATAGTTGAGGAAACGGAGGTTCAAAGATGGGAAGTGATTTGAGTTCACACAGTTGATCCTGGACTCAAAAACAGTCTGGTTGCACCCTAAAAAAAGCTATCAGGCACAGCCGGTGTGGCTAAGTAGTTGAGCATCCACCTATGAATCAGTTCAAGGTTCGATTCCCAGTCAGGGCACATGCCCGGGTTGTGGGCTCATTCCCCAGTGTGGGGCTTGCAGGAGGCAGCTGATTAATGATTCTCTCTCATCATTGATGCTTCTCTCTCTCTCTCTCTCTCCCTCTCTCTCCCTTCTTTCCTCTATGAAATCAATAAAAATATTTTTTTACAAAAATTTGTAAATATTGGGATCTGAGAGCTCCCAGAGAGGAGTAACAACTCTATGTCCACCCCTCTCAGTCCTGTGCAAGGAGACAGTAAGATCAGGAAACTCAAACCCACCTCTTTGCCTAGGTTCACAGCCTTACTGGGTCCTCGTATTTCTGTGTCTTTTCCTGCCCCCTGTCTGTGAGCCCAGCAGGTGTCTCCAATTGACCCCTATACTTTGAACTCCAGGTCTTACCCACAGCTCCCACCTTGTTGGTGTCTCAGGGACTTCCCCCTCCCGGCCCTAGTAACCTCCCAGTCCCAGGCCCCAATCCCTTTTCTCCATCCTCTGCTTTCCTGGGGCCCATCTTGTCCTTGATGTCCAAGCAACCCCTGAATGGTAACTGCTCTCAGATCTCTATGCCTCCACACACAACTCCCCACCCACGTGTCCTTGGTGCGTCCCCAACCCCCTCCACACCTGTGCCTTTCGACTGAGACACCGGACTCTTGAAACCCTCTCCGACGACCTTGGTGCTCCGGTTCCCTATGTCCCCTCGAACCCTCTTACCCCCAGACAGGAGCCCTCGAACTCCATGTCCTCGGTGCGCTGCCAGCCCCCAAGACCCCTACGCCCTCGGTGCCTCCTCGCCCACCTTTGATGCTGATGCCCAGCCCGCCGGCATCGGCCTTGCGCACAGTCACACGGCGCCGCTGGAGCAGGAGCT